AATGACTAACATTTGTTTAGAAATTTTAAGCTAAAATTCAGCCAACTGTTACACTTTACCACTCTTAATCATTGATAGATTAACAAAGGTATCGCATTTGCGCTGGAATGCATATTAGAATGCAATGAGCGTTGTGTTCAAAGATTTTTATAAACTTTACCTTTTGCATTTCCGACATTTATTAACCTCAAAAAACTTTTGTTGATATAAACTATGCTAAATTGATAATTTCATCTTTAAAATTGACAAAAAAATGGAGATGTGGTAAAACAACGAATTTCAATTTCTCTTTCCTCTCTTTGTTTGTTTTTGTTATTAAAAATTTCTTATACTATTCGAAAATATCACTTGCATACATGCAAAATGTAGCAATTTGGTTGAAAAGATTCAGATATTAACTATCGGTCGTAAGTATCATTTCTAAGCGTTCAAGTTGAAAGATAACCGAGAAAGATCAAAATTTATCATACATTTAGTTGGAACAATATAATTTCTAACGGTATCAAAAAGTTCTAAAAGAACACTTTATCAATCAATGTAAATTTGCTCAGTATTTCTAAAATTCATATCTTTAACTAAGTTTTACATTTTATTCATAAAATACTTTAAGTGACGATGTTCATTAAAAAAATGCTTTTTGTAAGATATAAATTCGACATCTGTTCAGGAAAAGAGAAGATGGGAATCAAAATGATATGCGCAAAATAGCAGGAATGAGGAAGAGAGCTGACATTATTGAATTCTTTCAACTTCCACACCTCAATCTTTTTCTCTTCTTTTATTGTATCTGAGCTTATTGTCAAAGTAAAATGAATCCATCGAAGTAATAGTAATTCAGGAAGGAATAAGAAAAGAAAATAACAATTACAAAGGAAACGTCCGACGTGGTATGTGAGTTTCAACATTTGCCACATACGAAGATAAATATTGAAACAAAATTCGGGAAAAAAAGAATAACGAGCACGAAAAACATTGCTAAAAGAATCCGACTATATAAAATAACAAATGAACAACAGTATGTAACAATTTTATGATAAGACTTAAAAATTTATTGAAAATTGGAATTCCAAATTGCATTACTAAATGATGGATTAAATTTGAGCTATTCAGATTTTTTCTGAATAATATTTTCATACTTTCTTTTTTTTATTTCAAAGAAAAATTGCTTTTTTTACATATTTTACAATTTTTAAAGAAATTTGAGAACTGAACAAGTATTGAGAATAAGAAGCATAAAGCTCAGGCAGATATGTCCAAAACTTCAAATATTTCCAAAGAAATGAAAGTGACTTGTAGCTAACACATAGAAAGAAATCACTTATATTTTTAATAATATGCAATTTTTATTTAGGCTAACGTCAGACTTTTTACTGAATATACAATCTTTGCTATCACTCAGAAAGAAAAGCCTTCCAGAAGATTTCAGTTTTGGACACAGAAAGTATCTCATTCTAGTAATGCAAACAAGTAATGCTACAAACTTAATCTAGTGTTTTTTGAAAAACCACAAATCATACTGATAGCATTTTCCAAATTCTTTTCAGATAATCTAATAGCTTTCTTCGCATCGAAGATCAGCATTAATTCGATTTCACTCTTCACATACAGAAAGAAGTATTTTCAATTTTAGAATTTATTGTAGTGGCAAGAAACCATTTAGAGTACATGAATGGTTGATTAATCGACTGATTGACTGATTGATTGAAAATGATTTAATAACTAACGTTGCACGCTTTTTTAGCAATTCATTTCCAGGATAAATAGGTGGCAATAAAATTATTTTATATAATTTATGATAAATTGCAAAGCGCGAGAATTTATAAAAGTTTGCAAAATTTCAGGAAAGAGACAATAATTATTGTAATAGAATGATTCTGGATGATAATTGATATATGCATTCTCATTAAGTATATTTGAAATGGAGAAGAATAAAATCCGCTACAAATCATAATTATACTAGAAAAAAACTAAACCATACCGTGCTATTATGCTGATAAGCTAGGAAGCAGAATGAAACAGCGTCTTAAATGATTCCTTCAGAAATTTAAATTTAATGAGATTGCAAGGAGAATTCACAATCTCATGTCAGTAATTTTTAGACAAGGCGCTATGATATTTGCAGTTATTAAGACGGATCGAAATCGATAATTTATTATTACCTTTAATCAATGAGACAGTGATAGCGGCGAGTTGATTGAGAGAAATACCTTAACAAATGCGACAACCGAAACATTTAGATTGTCGGTAAATAAAATGATAGAATACCAGAAATCATCGTAAGCAAATAGCTAATTATTTTGAATGCTGTTGAAAAGATGCCGACAGCACGAACATTAACAGCGAGAGAGATTTTCATATCTTTGCTCCTTTCTTTCTCGAGATTTTCCTTTTTTCATTTTCAGGGATAAGAGGGATTGACTAAAATAGAAGAATGATTGTACATGCTTTTAAAATTCTCAATTAATTTCACTTATTCTTTTCAATTATTTGAAACTTTTTTCTTTTGCTCTTTAATTTTGTGGTGTAATTTTAAAGTCGTCCTGAAGTAATTATGCAAATTCTTTTTTATATTACATAACTTTCAGTGCAAGCGCCATTCAAGACATTGTTCATTTCAAATGTGTAACCGATTTTTCACGATACGAGCAAATGTTATCGAACCGAGTTTTTTTCTACGTTGTAGTATATTAATTAAATAAATGGGATAATATCATATCATCCATGAATTAGATATTTGCAAAATCTTCCGGATTAAAATTTCAAAATCTAAATATGGAAATAGTTGAAGTACAAGAATTTGGCACTTAAAGTGTAAATTTGCAGAATTTGAATCATGTAAAAGGCTTACTGCTATCTTTTAAATTCAATAATGCATAATTAAAATATTGAATCAAGTAAAACTGCTGATCCAAACAGATATTTTCATTTACAAAAGTAAATAATTTGGTAAAGAAAATGTGATTCAATCCTCACTGAGATATGATCATTCGACAAACAAGAATAAAACATAAAGCATGGAATGAACAATGAAATACATATTTGTTTATTTCGTTGTGAATTTGGTTCAACGAAGTGTTTTGTGCAATTTTTTTCTTTCTGTAAAATGAATGTAATCATTGATAAGCATGTGGTTATTAACACTTTTAAAAAATTTAAAAAAATTCAAAAAACATCAGCTTTTTAATTTTGTCCGTAAATAATTTACATCTATTTTCACTGAAATACACCAGAAGTAACAATTATTAATAAATAAATGAATTTAAAAGATAGCAGTAAGCCTTTTACATGGTTCAAATTCTGCAAGTTTACACTTTCAATGCTAAATTCTTGTACTTCAACTATTTCGCAAAACACTTCGTGGTCTATTTCAGTGAAAATAGATGTAAATTATTTGCGGACAAAATTAACTAAAACTGAAGAAACGCAAATAAGATTTAGAAGATTAGATGAGAAAAACGCCTGGTAAGATATATTTATGCTAATTTTTACAAATATTAGAAAAAATTTTACAAATATTAGAATGTTAGTTATAAAAGCAAACGGTTTACTAACGAAGTCAATAAATATATGATGTACTTTATTCATTTCAGTGACTATATTTCAATTTCTGTGGTAAAATTTTCGAAAAATATAAATTAAATATTGCTTGTCTGTTCGACTTATTGCAATTGTATTAATTGTTACAAGTTAAAAAGTTATCTAATATAACTAAAACTGAAGAAACGCAAATAAATTTTCATTGGATGATAAGCAAGAAGAAACGTTTATACCGAAGTATTACAAATAGATTTTCAGATATTCTCAGACAGATATTTTCAAGAATATTCTCAAATTTAAGAAAATAATTTATCGACCGTTCCAGAAATCAGATTCATTTGATAAAAAATATAAGGAATTAATGAAAGGTCAACATTTAAAACAGATGGAAGATTCACCAGGCAAAGTGATGAGAAATCGAATGATCGACGTATCGAAGGAACATCGAAGAAAAGCAGCGATAGGAACAGTACTACACAAGTGGTCACTACAGGTAAACAGGAGAAATAAGTAAACTGTGACGAATGAATTGCTCATTAATTACTTTTGTGAATATTTTCGAAAGCTTTATTACAGTAAATAATATTTGTGAACCAAATTGCTAAACTGATCGGTTTCTCCCAGATTTTATGGGATCACAGCTTGTTGCTATAAAAATCACTCATCATGTTTACCATTTGCTAAATCTCGACCAGCAATTATCGAATGATTCGGTAGGACAAAGTTATCAATTGATACTTGCTAACTGTATCAAACGATCTTACTCCATGGATAGATGGATGGATACAAAAGTATGCAAACTAGTTTGTTGCAAAATCAAGCACAAAATTGGAGTACTCAAAATTAAATTAGAAAAAAATCCACCGCGTTAGTTAAAGGAATTTATCTGTACTATTGTACGCGTATAATAATTTATTTATCAATCTTTATGGACGCTCCTAAATCAATTATCAAATTGAAGTGTTATAAGTCTCTGAACGAGTGGTAGTATCAAACATTTATTCCGGGATATATTCGATAACTTTGCTATTTGCTTTTATTATAAAATACTTTCATATCGATTACTACATCCTAACAATTATTTATTTAAAATGAAATATCAAAATGATTGCCAGCACAAAGACAATTAAAGATAAAAAACAATAAATACCATAAGATCACATTAATAGACTCCGATAAATTTAAATTAATAACCAACTTGAAAATTGTCATAGAAATATAAAAAATCAAAAAAATACATTTAAATTAAGTCAAGTAAAATGTCACAACAATTAAATTTCCTTACCATTCTTTTCTTCCATATCTTTTACCGATCATGAATGTTTCATCATTCATTTTTAACATATATTTTTGCATATAAGACAGTGAATAGATAATGGATGACAGCCATTGTGAATAAACTTTCCATCTTCATATTTCATCCAAAAACATAAACTTACAAAAAGAAATTGAAATAATGCAAATTAGTACACTGGTTTGTATTTCTTTATTTCTACCATAATATGATGAATATTAACCAGCTCCTTTAGGACAGCATTTTCTGCAAATACTTCATGTGATAATACCTTGCTAAATCGATGGTAATATTGAACAATTTGTGTGAATGTCATCTGAAATATATATTTGCATTAAAAATAATTCTTCTAATAATTCATAACAAAACAAAAAAAAAAGGAAACAGAAGAACTGTGAAGAATATCCCAACCTGTAAAATGTTGGTACCATTTTTGAAATTTGCAAATGAACGAACAATTTCGTTGTTTACAGCATCTATCGACTTTTTCCAGTTAGCGCAAAAACTGCGCACAATTTTTGTCACACTATCTGAATTGCACGTTTATTACATGGTAATAAATAATGAATATCGTACTAAGAACAATAAATTTCATTTATTTTATTACTTCGTGCATAAAGCTAATAAAAGCAGTATAAGAAACAGTCATATTAAGAGAGTGCGATGACGTTTTGAACTCTTTTTCCTTTTCTTCTCTCACTTCAATAAATATAACCTTCTCATAACCACATCATTCTATAAAGGAATGTTGCAAAAAAGTCTCACCAGAATAACGAATTAAAAGCTGCTTGTGCCCCTGTTCAATTAATGGTTCACATTCATTAACAAATGACATCAGATCACCAAAGTGGGGTCGAAGCACCAGTTCAACGTATTCATTGATACGATTCTGTTTCAGTTCCCAGAATGATGATTTTTCTTTCGAATCAAATGTCACCCGCTCCTGTCATCACCGTGATTGCAATGCAGGGATACATACATACCATAACGAACAGCATAATAAATTAAGCTTAACTAATAATTAAAAGAAATAACAAACCTCAAGAACACTAAGGATCAAATCATAGTTATTGATGAGACAGACCACCCGTTGTAAGCGAGGGGTTAATTGCTCCGCAATACGAGTTAAGAAATTTTCGATCTCCGCTTGCTGCTTACTCAAGTAAAGCTGTAAAGATTTGATTTCAATATTAAATATTAAAAAAGAGTTCAATCTCTTGCTTTTAACATTTATTTATCAAGCAAGACTCGAAAATTAAAACAGATTGAAAAAAAGACAAAACAATACCTGCAATTTTGGATCGATCTGATGCATCG